ATAGGCCGAGTCAACGAATAAAATGATCATTTAGAACTTGAAGAAAAGACTGGATGATGCAAAGGGGAAATGGAGAGAAGTTCTACCCGAGGTCCTTTGGGCATATCGAACTACATCAAAATCCAATGTGGGGGCTACTTCGTTCTCTCTAGTATATGGCTTCGAGGCCCTCATCCTCGTTGAAGTTGGAGAACCCAGCGCCAGGTTTCGACATACATCGGAGGAATCAAATCACGAGGCTATGAGTGTCAGCCTCGAGTTATTAGACGAAAAGCGAGAAGTAGCGCTCGTTTGGATGACCGCGCAGAAGCAAAGGATCGAAAGATACTACAATAGAAGAACAAACCTCCAACATTTTGGAATCAGGGACTTAGTACTATGGAAAGTCATCCTCAATACTCGAGACCCTAATGAAGGGAAACTTACCCGAATTGGGAGGGACCATACCGAGTCCTCGGAGTTGTCGGCAAAGGGTCTTACAAACTCAGCACAATGGAAGGCCAACAACTGCCAAACAATTGGAACATATCACTGCTCAAACGGTACTATTGCTAATGTATGACCTTATCCTTTGTCCATTTGAGTTTAAAACTAACTCATTACAGGATTTCGATCAAGGGCTTACATCGTATTTCTACACGAAGGCCTTAGGTTTTAAAGCATGTGTTGCACTCTTTTTCCCTTAGATCAGATTTTGTCCCAAATGGGTTTTACCAGTAAGGTTTTTAACGAGGCACCAATTATGTGCTACCTAAGGAGAACTCAACAATATCCAAGGTTTCTTTTTATTCAACCTCGAATACTGGGGGGCATCACCCTTAGAGATTATATTTTCAAGGAAAATACTTCACGCCAATGAGGGCCTCAATAGGAAAACTTTGTAATGAACCAAACGATCAGATGAATCGTATCGATATAGAATAGTCAAGCCCCGACGGCAAAACATGTACAAGTGTATCAATTATTTGAAGAAGCATTTTGTTAATATAAAAAATACTTAGTGTCTCAAATAAGTCTACTGCTACACGAATTCTACACTCATAATCCTACGGGAAACGGCTCAAGAGCCAAAGTATAAAGCACCCCCGAATATTCGGGGACTGTCTTCGACAGTCAGTATATAGTCATCAAAAACTCGGACTTATAAGACCTCAAAGAGGAACCCCTCGAAATAAAGGCCAAGGTCAATGTACTCGGCGACCAAATTTTCGAACAAGTTCGGAGAATTATTGTGAAACAAGTCCAAGTGACATATCTGAAGGCTACGGCCACACTAAAGGCTACGGCCATACTAAAGGCTATGGCCAAAATAATGTGGCTCGGAGACGTCCGACTTCCACTATAAATTTAAGACCTTCAAACACTTTGTAAAACCGGTTGAATCAGGCTATCCTCGGCAAAAGCAAAATATAAAGGGCTTCGAAAAATTCAGCCTCCGAAAAATCTGAGGGCCTCAATAAATTCGGCCCTCGAATAATCCAAGGGGTTCGTTAACGTTGGCCTTCGGAAATATCTCAAGAGGTATTCAGTTATGTTTACTCAAGCAAATTACCAATAAGGTTTCGATACGTTGAACCTCCGAAAAACCCAAACAAGTATAAAAAAACACATGCTAAGGTATACAAAAATTTTACTAAGTCTTTTAGCCGAAAACAAGGGAAAAGTATAGCCATTTTAAAGGCCGAATCGGCCCATCCTAAAGTGCCCATGGGCCAAACTAAAGAGCCTAAGGGCCGACTTAAAGAGCCTAAGGGACAAACCATTTGGAGTTCAAGACCTCGCTCTCACTCAACTCGGACTCAAAAGTCCCATTATTCCGAGTTCTTATCGAATTGATTTATTATGTTCTGAATCTGAATCAAGATTCGGACTGATTATTTGAATTATCAAAGTCTTCCGCAAAGGAGAACAAAATAAAATTCAACACAAGTTAAGGATAAAGCTAAAAGATACTTTATATTCATGAAGGGTATTTTACAAAGCATGTTTACAATGCCCTCGAAGGGCCCTTGCACAAAAAAGAAAATGAAAACGTAATCTATTTTTGAGGCTACATCCCCGGAAGCGTTGTCTTCAAAAATTGCACCTTCAGCAGCTCTATCTTCGGGAGCCTCCTCTCCTTAGAGAACATCTTCTTCACTGTCCCCGTCTCCAGAGCCACTCACTATGTCCTCATCATCGGAGGAGACAAGAAACCTGGCATTGGTTTCCCACGCCTTTGCCTTGGCTATCTCCTCAGCAAGATCGAATCCCCGGGCATGAATTTCTTCGAGAGTCTCCCTCCGGGCTTGGAACTTAGCCAAATCATTGCTCCACTTTCCTCGGTCGGAGACCTCCTTCAACTCAGCTTGAACGACTGCAAGATCCCTTAAGTACATGGTAATGGATTTATTAGCCGCAACCCTCGTCTTCTCAACTTCGGGCTTAGCTTATACAACTTCAGCCTTGGCCTGTACGGTTTCGACCTGGGTTAACAATTTCACATATACATAAACTTCGCAATCATTAAAACCACACTAGTATTAGTACCTGCGCGTTGCGCGAACACAAATATCAAATCATAATTTGAGTTATTGGAATTACCTTAAATTTAAAACTTCCAGATAATATGTTTCTTTTTATTTATATTTTTATTTTATATCCGTAATAATCCAACTCCTTGGTTTAGTACTTGTATTTTATTTTGTGGTCAATATTAAATAATACTAAATATATCATGTTTGTGACATGTCTTGTTTGAGCATATTAGTTAACAAAATTCCTACTACCACTTTATGTTTCACCGCAACAAAATTCTTACTACCACTTTATGTTTCACCGCAAATTCAAATAAGTCTTATCCTTCTACATTTTCACCCAAAACAACTCTCTCTTTAATCTTTGTTTATAGTTATTGCATTTTTTAATTTACATAATAATGTTATATTCATATGATCTTTTATTAGCTTACCAATTGACTTGATATCTTGCCTATTACCCTTTTGATAAACATATATAATTGTAATTTTTTTATTCCTAAAATTTAATTTATTTTTGTACTTTTATCCCCTTACTTGGAACTCTTTTTTCATTTAAATCTTGCAATAATATTTTTGAGTACTATTTAATTATTTAATATACTTATACTTAATTAATTCAAAGTATAATTATTCTCACACTATCTCTATTTTCCTCTTTATACATCCTCTTCCCTACTATAAATTTTTAATTAGTTTTTTATATTAATATTTTACCAATAAATAAAATATATAATATCACATTTTATTTTAAGATATAACTTTGAATTAGTTTAAAATATTAAAAGATAAGTTTTTTACTATTATATTTTAAATCTATTGAATTTTCTTATAATTGTTTTTATATCACGTATAACTAAATTTTCTTTCTCTTTTAACGTTAGGATACAAATTAGACTTTAATTTTCGTTCATAAAATTACCACATGAGATATTTATTTTGTATTTCCTTAGTTTTAGTTTGTTATCCAATTTTTATTTTTTTATCTAGTAAAACTTTAATTTTGTAGTCCTATCCATAGTTTGAGGGTTTTCACCATAATTTTAATCTAAATCTCAAGTTCAAATCATTTTTTCCTTCTATTTCTAATATTAAATATTTTTAAATTTTTGATTATTGCTATTTTTTTTTATAAGCAGCTTTTCTATTTCATTCCATCAAAAGAATATACATTACATTCAGTAGATGCTAACTATCTACTCATCCTTTGTTATAAACTCTAGTCCGAGGTTCCTTCTTAAGCTAGGACTATACATGACATCTAGTACTCTAATGCTATTACACAAGAAATCAGTAAAAGACTCTAGCATACTAAGGGTAGCAGTTTATCTTCTGCAGAGCTTCTTTCCAGTTTTGTATTGAGACCCCCTTTAGGTGTATGTGGATAACTATTTCTTTGTAGATGTTGTTGATTATCAGTTTACCTCCTTGGAATCTCAGCTTATTTCTTTCTCTCCATATAGCATTCACCAGCATGCCAAATACATAGGTAACTATTGCACATTGTCCATTTCTCCTTTTTAGCATTCTTGCTTACCCATTTGACTTCACTCTGCCAGTCACAAATAGGTCTATCATATCCCAACCATCTTAGCAGCCTCAACCATAGTTCCTTTGTCAGCGAGCATTCAAAGAAAAGATGGTCAAAAGTCTCAACAGCTTGCTCGCAAAAAATACATTGATGTGGAGTTTGTATACCAAACTTCAGTAGCCTCTCCACCGTTGTCAATCTATTATGTAATGCAAGCCACAATATAAATTTGAATCTTGGATGCAGGTGTGGTTGCAAGATAATGCTCTTCCACTGGACCTTTTGATGTTGAGGGAATTGAGTACAATTTTTTAATGCTGAACAATTCACCCCTCTGTAGCTGGTGCAATCTGCTTTCCAGATCCCCTTGAATTCCTTGAAGCTCATTTATCATCCTTCTTGCCTCAAAAATTTTTCTAACTACCCAGGCTGCATTCCTAGGTATAGGCATATCTTCAATCATATAGTTCTTTATGTAGTAAATGTGCATCCATTTTATCCATAGACTATCCTTCTTCTTTGCCACTGCCCATAGATGCTTGCAATAGCAGCTTTATTCCAGTATAGCATGTTCATTACATTAAGCCCCCTGCACTCTGTGGCAAACATATTGTTTCCCAAGAAAATAAAGCTCTCCTTGACACAGTAGCTGAACCAGTCCACAAAAATGATCTGCAAATTGCCTCAATCATCTTCATCACTTTCTTTGGTAATAAAAATATTTGTGTCCGATACGATTGCACATCAAATAAAACTGATCTTATCAATTGAAGTCGCCCTGCATATGATAATAATCTCGATGTCCAGCAATTTATCTTATGAGTTACCTTCTCTACTAATGGCCAGCACTGAGCAATGGATAGCTTTTTGGAATCCAATAGTACCCCAAGGTACTTGAAAGGTAGGTTGCCTTTAGGGAACCCCAGCTCTTGTAAAATTTCTTTTTTTTTTTTTCAAATTGAAACTCCAGCTATATAGACAGAACTCTTGTCAACATTTGCTTGAAGACCTGATACCATATAGAATTTATGAAAAACCTGTTTTAATAGCCTGACAGATTGTATATCAGCCTTACAAAACATTAGCAAGTCATCCGCAAAACAGACATGTACCACACCCAATTTCTTGCACCTAGGATGGAATTTGAAGTCTTTCATCTTTGGCAATTGCATGAACTCCCTTTGCAAATACTCCATGGCCAGGACAAAGAGATAAGGAGACATTGGGTCTCCTTGCCTTATGCCCCTCTTGCCTTTGAAAGGTGTTGTGAGTCCACCATTTATGTTTAGAGAATATGTAACTGATGAAATGCATTCCATTACCCATTTTGTGAATTTGTAAGGAAACCCCATGCCAGTAAGCAATCTTTCTAAGAAACACCATTCTACTGTGTCGTAAGCCTTCCTCAAATCCACTTTAAGAACACATCATGGGGAGATACCCTTTATATTAAATCCTTTGACCAATTCATGTGTGAACAAAATGTTGTCTGTAATACTTCTACCTTCTATAAATGCTGACTGTGATCTCTCAATTAGACCTCCAATGACTGGTTTTAGTCTTGCTGTGAGGACCTTTGTGATGATCTTATACAATGTTGTACAACATGCTATGAGCCTATAGTCTTTAACTTGACTAGGATTTTGCACTTTAGGAATTAGTGTTACAGTAGTACTGCTCACTCCTTTATGCAGCCTCCCAGTCACAAAAAAAATCCTTCACAACCTCATATATGTCATCACCTACTACTTGCCAATGTCTTGTGAAAAATTCAATTGGAAACCCATCCACTCCTGGTGCCTTATCATGGGGCATATCTTTTATTGCCTGAAGTATTTCATCTCTTGTAACTACTTTGATTAGGTCCTCCTTCTGCTGCATATTAAGACAAGGTCCTTGACGTATGACCTCAGAGTTTGGACATTCACATGTAGTGTTATTCTCTCCCAGTAGCTTCCTGAAGAACTTGACAAACTCTTCCTCCACCAGTATAGGATTAGATACCTTGTCTCCCAAGTCAGTATAGATAGAGTTTATAGTATTTGTGTTTGTCCTTAGCTTTAACTGTGCATGGAAATACTTAGAATTTGAGTCTCTACAAGCTATCCAATGTGCTCTAGATTTCTGATGTAGAATCTGTTCCTCTATACTGCTCCATTTCTCTACTTCCATCAAAGCTATTTTTTCTTGATCAATCAACCTTTGATCCATATGTTTGTGCTTTAGTTCACTCTGAATGGCTTCAAGTTTCTGCCTGGCCTTATTGAGTTGAAGCCTATATGAAGCCATATAAGTATTCAATTCCTTCAGTTCAGTTTTCAAATCTTTAAGCTTATTCCATACCCTGTGCATGTTGCCTCCATTTACCTTTTGATTCCATACTTTTTCCACTATGCCTGCAAAGTCAGCATGATCCATTACAGAGCTATACAATTTAAAAGGTTTAGGATGCAAGTTCCTTTTTTGATCTACAACCTTGCATTGTAGTAGAATAGGGGAGTGGTCTGACACCTCAGGATTTAGAAAATCTGCTTCAATATGACTGTACTTCTGCATCCACTCAACATTCCCCAGTGCCCAGTCAATTCTATTGTATACCCTCTTTTCCAATTGTTGTTTGTTGCACCAAGTATAGAACCATCCCAAACTCTTCAATTGTGTGAGTTGCAGGGTAATAATTGCATCCTGGAACCCCTTGATCTCACTTTGTGTAACTGGAGCCCCTATCCTATCATCACTATGGAGGACATTATTGAAGTCTCCACTAAGTAACCAACTCTCCTTAATAGTTGCTCATAAATTCACAAGTTTATCCCATAGCTGTTGCCTTTTGTTTACCTCATTACTTGCATACACCACAATTATCAAAGTCTTGAAAGTGGAACTTCTTTCTTGGACTTCACAATGCATAAATTGTTCATCAAGCAACAGTATCTGCACCTCAACATTTTGTTTCCACAATAGCCAAATCCTTCCATTTGGATGTTCCTTGTAGTTACAACAAAATCTCCAATCATTGCATACTTTATTCATTATCCTGTTAGCCTTCATTTCCTTTACTCTTGTTTCTAAACAGCTTATAAACTCAACCTTATGTTTCCTCATAAAGATTTTTTAACTCTTTTTGCTTATGGGCCTTGTTCAGACCCCTTATATTCTAGGTGCATATGATCATTTTTGGGTGAAGCTGGATGGGCCAGCGTCCCCTGGATCATCTTCTATCTGCAGTAATGAGAACCTGTTTGTGGACTGCATCATAACTACTGCACTTTGCTGTATACTTTTCCCCTTCATTTCTCCATTATCAGTAAGCTTATCATCTCATTTGTCATTTGTTTGTTGCATGTCCCCTTCATTTCTAGTATGTTGAATCACATCATCCTTCCTCTTATCTTTTGACATCCATTTCAAGGTCCCTCTGTGGTGTTGCTTCTTTTTCCCAGCATCCCTTTGTTGGACTTTTACTTCCACTGCCTTTTCCTGCACTTCCTTAAGCCAACATTCGTTTGAATTATGCCCAAATCTAATACAGTCACAACAATACTTTGGCTTTCATTCATATTCAATTTGCTGAATTATTACTCCCCTCTTAGTTTTCATTTCAAAACTATCTGGTAGTGGTTGGGATATGTCAGTTTCCACCAAAACTCTTGCATAAGACACCTTTTCCATTTCAGTAGTGATCTTATCAATGTACAAAGGCTCCCCAACAACACTAGCTAGTTTACTGAGTGCTTCTGTAGACCAAAAACCCAGTGGTAGACATGGAAATGTGATCCACAAGGGAATCACACTCACGCTTCCTGGATCAAATTTGAAATACATTCTCCATTGTTACAGCACAAAAGGCTTGTTGTGATATGTATAAGGTCCTGCTTGGAGTACTAGGTCCCTATCTTCAGTATTTTCAAACTTGAAAATATAGTATCCATTCTCATGATATAGAATTTGAGGCTTCTCAACAAAATTCCATACATTTGTGACATAGTTGTCCATTGCTTTCTCATAAGGGTTGTCACCTAGCACAAACCCAATCAAAGTTGTGCTCCAGTAGGTCTCCTGTTCCTTCGTATCTTCATCTTTAATTTGCACGACAAAAGTATCATCCCTCATAGCAGGCGGTACATAGCATAATGTTTTCCCCTTTTGAGAGCTTCGATTCATCTGCATGGCTTCCTTTTTCCTCTCAACTTCCCCTAGATATGTCATATCTTGCCGGGTCTGTCCTGAGTTTACCTGTGCTGAAAATTGCAATCGCCAATGGATTTGCGCAGCTTCCGTGGTTTCCTTCAGCAGAGTTTACGCTTCATTTTCTTCAATTTCTTCCCTAATTGGCTGAAATTTTTGTGGCAAAAAACTACCAAAAGTTACCGGAAGTAATCTCTGTTGAATACATGTGTCCGGCGTCACTGTCGTTCCGTCAATTCCCCCATCCTTTGCTGGTTTATGAAAAACTATAGGTGCACTACCCATTCCTGTTAACCAGCGACTAGGTTTATTGCTATTAAATTACCTAATATATAGTATTTTATTTTCTTATAGGGCTTTCATTAACATGCCTCTTTATTTAATATCATAATCCATTTATATCCTTTAATATTATTATATAAATCGATGTATGATTTTTAATCTTGAAATAAATATTTATTTTATTTAAAATTAATACTCAAAATTATTAAATTGTTTAAATTTATTAATAATATCTTTAAGCATTATATATTTACTTTATTTTATTTTTAAAACTAATTCTTAGTATAAATAACCTCGCATTATCTCTAAATTATTAATATTTTGATTTTTGTAATTTTTTAATCTATTAAACTTCAGTTATGTGGCCTTATCCACATCATACCTTTTTATCATACTTAAAAAGAACTTTTTTATATCAAATTTAAATAAGTTTTATTCTTCTTTATTCTTTATGATAGAAATTTTGATTTTTTCTCTGTTTGTTTCTTATTTTGCTATTGTATATTCAATACTGAATATTATTAACGTTGTCATGTGCTTTTTATTAGTTTACTTGAATTTAATATTCACTTTTATCACATCATTTTAATATAATACAAATAATAAATAAAAATTATTTCAATAGTAACTTTGACTTTGTTGCTCGTATTCTTAAATATGATTTTTCTTATCATATTTTAAAAAAAAAGTCCCATCTTAAATTCAAATATATCTTATTCTTCTATATTCTCCATTAGACCACATTTTCAAAAATCATCTTATACTTTCAAACTTAACATAGCAATACTCAATTCAAATATTAATCGTAAAAACTCTAATTGTTGCAATATTTTTACTATTATTTTAAGAAATATTTATTTGTCCGAATTGTCAACATTAATATAACCTCATTAATTATATATATATATATA